AAAATATCCCGCACAATGAACACAAAAATTAGGCAGAATATGGGAAAAGAACAAAGCAAATAAATTGGAATACATTTCATCAGTTAAAAGAGATCTAGTTTATATGTAAGTCGGTGTAGTCCAACTGCGATGAAGAAGCATGGTATGTGCAACACGTACCTCATTATGAGGTTACCATTTGTGGACACGGTTTCTGTCAGCCTTAAGAAATACACCTGTAATTTTGGTATTGCTAAAACGCAAATCTATATCCAAGCTAGGTCTGTACTTCAGTTTGTAATTTATACTGAACGCGGTCACATACAACCGGCACCGTTGCATTAGATTGCCTAGTTGTAGAAAGAAAGATTGAAGTTAACCTCTAATCTAACCTCTGATCTTTGAGGGAAAACGCCATATTTGTCAGAGTAAAACTCCTGTCGTCTCACGAGTAAGACGAAAGGCTAACTTTGAGTGTTGCTCCTTCCCAACGCTGAGCTGCGTCATCGGTCCGTCGCATCTTGTGCAGAGGAATGAGGTAGGGCCCCGAACCGAGGAAGCATAGATTGTGGGCAAACATCCCAAGTCAGTCAAAATAAGCTTCATGTGCACGAAGAGAAAAAAGTTGGGTACAACATGTCCACTTAAAAGGACAGACAAATAATGAAAAAATATACCTATGTGCACTCAAACAAAGGTTCACGCGTGGCACTAGTGATTTGCGTAGAGTTGGAATTCGTGGGAAACAAAAGTACCTTTTAACCACCTTTCCCACACTTAGCTGTAACTTACGCCATCATTGGGTCAATCCGCAGTGGACTTGTAATCGAACTGTTCATTACTCGAGGAAGAAACAGTAAAAACAACGATTTCGCTGCCATACTAGAAGGGTGCATTGATAAGTTATTAACGGTGTACGTCGTGTCGACATCACCAATTGAGCTGTGCAGCCATCCAAGTACAGTGTAAGCTTTGAGGGTTCGGTTAAAACAAACACAAAATAAATTACCTATTACTCATAAAATAGCTTATAAATATTCATGGTTATTGCTGTTTGTTAGTGGTTCATCGCTTTATTCGTTACCATGTCATCTGTTAGATTACGTTGACCAAGCACTGTTCGACCGTACGGGCCAACCATACTTCCCTGAACTGCGCGTACACGGTTTTTCGTCGCCAATTTCAATTCACATCAATAATTTACCATAGATCTAAATCCATATTTTAGCGTTTATATTTCACACCGCTGACTAGTACACCGATAAAACTTGCTTCCTGAATTTCTTGCAGAGTTCTCTACTCGATTTCTTAATCACTGACAGACAAGATCCGAAATTTACACAGGATATTAACGTACTTTAAAAAACAGAACATGTTTTTCTCGATTTCAATGTACTATTTCAAACTCACCAAACAGCTGTACGACACTACATTGTAACCGCCAGATTAACGGTTTCGAGTGGGTCAAAAGTCTTCATTTGCTGTACAAGCCTTTTCAGCTAACAGGAAAGAGGCTTGGAAATAAAATTCTGTAAATATTTGTTAACAAACAACAGTTTTTTATTCGGCCACCAATAAATATTCTCTATTAGACTGTAGGTAGAAATTTTAGGTGAGTTATTTTTCATAGGTCCCACTAGGCTATGCACTCAAACTACAAGAAGTGAGAACTAATAACACCCTCAAATGTTATCGATCGATCAATCCTTTGCATAGAAATGATTCTACTGGTATGTTACATTTTACTAGTTTGAAAGCAAGGCTGCGTTGCACGGAAACATTAACTCGCCTAAGATCTCAACGTAACAACTGTCAGCAATTGTGCACAGTTTGACAGTATGCCGCCGGAAGTTAGTGTGGTCTGCCACGAGTTCCTGTGTCAAGAAGAATCCAGCAATACATGTGCAGCGCGCAGCCGTCAATAAATCCGTGCGTAGTCTGGTTATGTGTTACCCTGTGAGCAGAAATCGTGGTCACATTTGGGATCCAAAGCGGGAGAGGTCAGAAACGCAGTGCATGGAAATAATCAGGGGTAAACTTTACTAGCCTGCCACAAACTCATATAGACCCTAGTATCAGGAGTTACGAGTTTAGTCAAATTTCACCTGTATTCCTTGCATGGTAATTCCGTTCAGCCCGGCAGTTAGAGACCTGCGAAGGTATAACCCTACACTGAATAATCGGAGGTGTGACGTGAATTTTGATGAAGTCGACGGAATTTAATAAAGTGAATTTGTGTGCATCAGTTGAGGAGTATGATGAGACTCACCAGCGTCACTTATTAAACTACGCATAACGGTGTAGTGTTATTTCAACTGAATTAAAATATCAGGGGTATTTTGCACTGCTAAAAAAATAAGATCAAATATGACGCAATGTTGAACTATCTGTTTCTTCTTGAATGTTAAAAGGACTAGGTGCATGGGCCAACGTTGGTTTCGGATAAATATCTGGTGTTGTCGACTTCCAACTGGTTTTGTGGTATACTCACCCACGTTGCAGAGATAGCTAAATTTGAAGTAGAACTAAGCCTCCAGATGTTACTGGCAGATCCAATTATCGATCACCCCAAACCACGCTTGACATTAGTTAGCAATTCAGCGTAGGTTTGGTTAGAATACTAACGACATGAAAGGATGGTAACACGTAAAACTGTTTTCCGATACAAGCACTACTCCGGTGACCGAGCAGATTCAAGTTCACCCCGAAGTAAGTTGCAATACATATAGAGATAACGCGCTTTAATCCTTTTCAGACCGTAAATGCGTCATAGAAAGCAAACAGGAAACAATTCAGGTAGTTACGAGAAACCTATTGTGGTCATAATTACTGGCTGACTGCGAAAAGATTCGACGCACGTTGTGCCTGCTTCGCACAACAAGTGCTTTTCCAGTGGCCTCTGGATTCGTCCCATTTCTTTAATACGCAAACGCTAGAAATTTTCTATTGGATGGAACAGCACTTGTATGCTGAGCAAAATGTTACCTCATTGATACCTGTCGATGTTTGAGAACACAGTCAAAAGCTTATCCATCTCAGGTGCGAATTTCCGATGTTTTGCCGTTGGAAGATGTTCTCTGGATATATTTCATTTTCTAATCGCGGTTATTAAAAGGCTACAGCAAGATTGTCTGGGTCCATTACTCTACCGTCTACCGAAGACTGTTCTCGATGAACCAAGCGAGGAAACTTTGAAACGGCTTTTCGACACTCACCTACGTAAGACAACAGGACTGTGCTGTCTCACTGCGACTGCTCCGGTTCCCTGAGGCTACCGGGTCACGATGGCACGAGTGCTCTTAAAACTGAAGTGGAGGTGATGCGGCTAACAAGGGACCTCCGTTTTTCCTTCTACAACTCAATTAACTCAATAGACATTTTTCTTATGATGACAGAAACCTTGGAGCTACTGGCGCACGAAGTGTTTGTCCAATCTGAGTGCCAATAATACGTCATTTAGTGGGCACGTTCTATTGATACTGTGACACGAATGACATACCAGCTATATTAAGGGAGAAGATAGACCAGAAAGACCAGGTTTGAGGCATTTTACATTCGGAACGTTATAACTCCTCTCTGACCATCCGTATGTACTCGGGAAACCGTCGTATTAAATCTCTCCAGGCGATCCCGTCAATGGTTGAGGTTAATCACTAAACACGCTACGCCATCTAACTAACAGATCCCCTAGTAAATCGATGACAGTATCTACAAAGGCGAATTTCAGCTATTAAAAGGTAGGTTTTCTCTTCGCAACTGGAAGCGATAGGCACCGTACCCATTCCAAGGTAGCACTTTTGAGTACGCCGTGGAATGAATCGCCTCTGCAGCAGCAGATGAAATCGCCTCACAAGCTGCAAGCGTCATGTTGTCTTTCCTGTAAACACATGGCTCACACATCTATGATGTAGCGTTCACTTGCTGACTGTATCAGTTCCAAGCCACCTTCAGATTTAGCTTGTTGTGCGGTTTGGAAACTCAGTACCTCCACAATTTACCCGAATAGTGTTGGCACAGTTTGTCGGTGGTTGATGGAAGCGAGGCGGCGCAAATATAAGATCTAGCTGACAGTGCCATATTGTCCACACCGCAGTATTGTTGCGGTAGATATGCACTATAATGTTGGTCTGTGGGCGGTTTTGTATCGTAAATAGCTCCGATGGAGTGTGTTGACTGTTTCTTAAAATAGGCTTTTCACATTCACACCAAACTACACATCCGTTGAAACATCAGAATGGTACTAGACCTTCGATTCATCAGAAGCTAACACGGCGGCAGAATGCAAAGGTGTCGAATCTCATAGAATTCCAGCTTATTACTAGTGACTTATGCTACTGAGCATAGTGCGGCCTCGTTGGTCTGTGTAACAAAATTGCAGATTGCAGTACACTGCACTTTATTTTAAACCGCAAGACAGCCCGGTTTATGGAGCACAGGATCGACTCCAAGACATGGATTCCGTCGGCACGTGGCCAGTAACCTAATCAAACTAAAACCTGTTGCGTTTGTTTCGATAAATACGGACTCAATGATCAGTGTTTGGAAACCAGTATAAGTGTCTAAAAGAAGTGATATGTAGAAAATGATCAGGACAAACAGCTCGTATGATGGGAGTGTCAGATCATAGTGAGCGGATGGACCAACCGAACGAGCCAGATAATCTGTGGGAGGCTGACGTAACGCATTCGATTAGTTTACTCGGATTGGAGGGAAAGCGTTCAGAAGAAAGCGAGTGCATTTGAGACGACACCGGAGACGACAATGTGGATTGGGAGTGGAGTGCCAGATGATGCGGGGCAAGGAGACCACAGCCTCAGAAACATCGAAGAAGACGAGAAGTGATAAGGTGTACGGGGTGTATAGCAATATGGAGGCGTTAGAACACGAAAAAATGGAGGATGTGAGGGAGTGTCCGATCAGAGTGAGCGGACGGACCAACCGATCAAGCCATTGAGAGGCGGGCGTGACGGACTCGATTAGTGAATTCGGAGGGGCCGATATTCGTGTCAGCGATTCACCGTTTATCTAAATGAAGCAAAGGAGGAACCTCATCGACTCAGAAGAGTCGTTTAGTTATGGACTTGAACGTGCAAGTTAGATCGAAGAGTTTGGCATACTAAACATGCTGCAATTTTCGCCGACTTGACTTTGCTGAATACACGCTTGTACCTGAAGGACTGAGTTCTGCAACATTCTGATTAACGAAAACGAGCAAAAAGGTGTTTGTCCAGCGAAAAACTGAATAACAAAGCAATGCCGGCGCGAATAAACGGGACTTGGTAGACATAAACCTAGGGTACATAGCAGTGACCGATGTTAACTACCACGGTGAAAAAGAGAAAGGTGACAAGCAACCACAGAACTATTTCCTTGTATGCTTGTCGGTAAAATCACCAAGTAACTTGTTCATTTCGAAAGGTGAAAACTTACCGGTAGCATTTGTAGCATTGTCTAACTTTGAGTGAGGAACGGACAAGAGTAGTGAATTTTTCGTCCTGAAGCATACTTAAGAATGCCAGTTGCAAAAGACCTTCTGCGTAACAGAGTTCAGCGTGGGCCTGTTCTGTAAAACAAATGTTATAGAAATGGTAGAGGACAACTGTTAATGCTTGGCTTCAATAGTATAAAGTCACAATTTGGTCCTTTGTGTTTAATGAAATGAAGATTTTTGAGTCCATCTTTCTCAGACGTGATGAATAAATCTGGTCTATATTTAAAGCAGCTGGCCATTTTAGTCATTTCAGAGCAGTAGACACAAAGACATCCTGAAACGCGACTTTTCCTGTAACAACAGCCGGATCGATAACGTTGGCACTTTAGTGAGCTTATCAGATGTGAGTGCAGGTTACTTCAAACAATTTCCGTATCTGATTATCATTCGAGCAAGAAGAGATTGAACCTGACAGAACATACAACCATAATGAATACCCTTTGAGAATGAATTTGAAAAACCAGGCATTGCATTTGATGATCGGTGGCAATGGTAGACCAAATTCAACCGCTTATACAGATTTGTCAATTGGTACCTTACACTAAGCACAGTAAATATCAGAAACGATAGCTGACGTCAGCTTAAGTTTCCCCACTCATAAATCAGACTCTCCAACAAGTGACACCTGCATGTTGTCCGTTAAGGAGTAAGGCCGATTTTCTGGACTCCGCATAGGCATGTTGGATTACGCTACCACACCGCTCAGCGAAGTTCCATCGTAAATGGTGTGGGATCCTATGGTTGGCGACATCTAATCCTAGACGTGCATGTCACTACAGAGCACCCGCACCGCAGTAGGATGGTAGATGGCTTGTAGTACACTGCTAACAACTCTGTCCAAGCAAGGGAATAAAAAGACTAAAAAGCGTGTTGACGGGCAACAGGACTGACTTAGAGGAAGCCAACGCTCCATCCGCACCACATGACTAACATAAATTTGGGTACACACGCTTACCGTAATTTCAGAAGGGGTGAGCTAGTTTCATTTTGAACTACCTGTTGTGTTTGGCACCGTCACGGGGCTGCCCACTCGTTGTTCAGCAGTAACGATCAATGGTATCCTGAAGACACTAACCAACACGGCGACACTTGAACCGTACGCTGCTTTCCAATATACAAATAGATAATAGCAAGAAATATCACCCGGCTAAATTTGGGGCACACATGAGCCATTCACGGCTGGGATACACCCGAATGATATGGCACAATCTATGTCCCATCGATTTTAGTACTGTAAACCGCCGAACGACAAGTAAAGCCGTCAGCACAGATAGCAAAACCACAGGCTCATGTATACCAAAGTACCCAAGCAACCTATGTGAAAACTAACAGAAACACAGAAGAATGGATCTGATGGGCGCTTATGGAGGATGTTAACCCGAAACGGGTTGTACTCATTCAATAGTTTACATAAACGACTGAAGAAGTTCGAACGCAATATATGGAAGAATGCCTACGTGCACTCGAGCGGCAGAGGTGACAAGACTCAGGTATTTTAGGACGGCAGAATAGAAAGTACTGAGAGCTTAAAACAACGAAATGCACCCAGTAAAATTCTGCTTAAAACTAGGAGGTTTGGATAACACAGATCGTATCATCCTGTCCCGATAGACGAATTTTAAAACAGTTAGTTCCCTCCATAAATTTGAAAGGCACGGTAAGAAGACGAAAGCTGGTAGATGCATGCACTTCGTGTTGTCTCCTCAGTATCATTAACAATAACCGGTATGCAACAGCGAGGTCCGAAAGACTTGGTGCATACGGCAGCCAAGGAATCTATATCGAGTTGCCTTTCAAGGGTGACTTTACTGTATTGAAAACCACGAAACGTTTAATCTCTGCTACACAGTGAAGCTACTGTGCTGCTCAGGTTGTGGTCATCAATAGAACCCGGTGCCGGTGCCTCCAGGTAAGGAACGTAAACTGATCGGGGCCAACTCATACTGCATATACAAATTCCAGTGCGATTGCGGAGAAGGTTACATAGGCAGAACCAATCGGTCATTGACTCCCCGAATAAATGAACACGTGCCAAGGTGGGTTCAACGTGAAATTGACCAGCATCCCTGTCCCACTGAAGTTCCATGCTTGCCCAAGCCGCCAGGTTCCTCAATAGGTAAACACCTACTGACTATGCGTCACCGTATAGAGCTTGGATCAGCGTTCATACTTGTGTTACGTCACCCTAATCCCCGCTTTCTCCGTTTCGTCGAGGCCGTTGCGATAAGCCGGATGAAGCCGGCCCCGTGTGTTCATAAGCAATTATTTGTCAGCTTAAGACTGCCGTGAACATGGGATGGAACTTTCGTCATTCATTTTGCACCTCATGCTTAGTCGATCACACTCATAGTTAAGTATATAGTTACATACCGGTTATTATTAATCGTACTGAGGAGACAATACGAAATGCATGCATCTACCAGCTTTCCTGTTCTTACCGTGCTGATGGAAGAAAATAATTTAATGCAAAGGTAATTGCTGGGTGTAAATTTTACTCCGGCTTCCGTTCTGTGTTGATACAGTTTGCGGCGTAAGTTAATCCAACACTTTCTGTCTTACTTATCGATCTAGTATCGCATAAAATGACAAGCGGAGTGAAATGATCGATGGTATATTTTGCCAACTCTTCCAGACGGACGTCTTCAGTACGCTCTCCCAGTAGTTTGCCTAGCACGAAAGCCATTCTCGGACATTGTTATAAGTGCTGGCGTTAAAAATTGGGGGCCTTGTGTCAGGACTCTGCAAACTACATTAATAGTTCGTGTTTGTTATCTGAGTTCACTTATTACCATGGTGGACTTTGCTGTACGCAAGCAGCATGTTCCCTACAACGTGGCAATCAAGTAGACGTCTGAAAGAGCGTTGCTGGTTTTATTGGTTTTACATTTACATAACAAATGTATTATTCAGTCATGCACATACGCCCACTTAAGTAGAAAACTGTGTCAGGAAATGCAAGCTTATGGCGTGTTAGTGGCAATTCCTGTGCTCAGCTGCATAGCAACATGAAACTGTGATTACAAATGTCTTACGCTGTCTGGTGCAGAGTAAGAGTAACTGCTATGGGAGTAACTGGTTTCCTCGGCGATTGGCTTCATCCTCACTGACACTGACGACACTATGGACTATAGTTATGAGACGTTTCAGCCAGTTCGGAGAACATCGCAGAAACAGTTAGGTGATTCGTGTCTATAGCCCGGAACCAGTAAGCTTCAAAACCGCTTTGCCATTTCTTGGACTTCTCAGACAGAGACAGCAAGACTATGGCTCTAACTTGGGATGCGAATATTGTGGATCCACTTCTTCACCACAATAGTACCGAGGTCCATCAAACTAGCCACCTCGAGAATTCGGTAATAGCCCAATATTGCTATTCCCGTCTGTAGCTACACACAGCCTTGAAAATTCTTGATTGCTACAAATATTCTTGGTAGTGTGCAAAAGAATCTACGTCGCAAATTTCGAAACAAGTACATCAACTCAATGAAGTGCGACTTAACTAGTCGTGTCTGCTACACAAAGGCCACAGGGTTCTGTAGATCACCAAATTTTTGGTTCAAGTCTTTTTGTGCATTGAGGATGACTGTCAAGCTCAAGAAAACCCTACGAGTCCTTGGTAGGGAACTGAAACGCTAGCACAGCATTGCGTAAAAAATGCGTTCGTATTTGAACGCAGAAGTGTAGCCAATAAAATGAATCAGTTGTTCTCAGAAGCACACTTAAGCTACGTAACAACAAGATTTGGTTATTAATGACTGTACCAGATACTGGTCCAAAGAACGGACAGCAAAATGTCTAATTCTAATTAAAGCTTTGCCTATCTTGAGGCTCCGTGTCTCAATCCAGCAGCAAAGAGTCCTGCTAACATACCACCAATGAGCACTTAATAGCTGTGACATACATCGATTACATTGATAGTCCGGCAGGCAAACGCTCTTGTCAGCAAACTATACCTCTATTTCGAAACGTTGCTTGGTGCGTTGTGCATGAAGGTTGTACGCAGGTGCAACACCAGTTGCGGAGTATAGCGTTGAGGTAAGCTAAGTCTGACATCAACTAGTGGATAAAACCGCAGATTTCCTAGAAAACTTCTACTCAGAGCTGCCAGTCCTCATCGTTCCGTTATTTAGGTTAAAAAATAGAAAGGATAAATCGCAAAAGTAAAAGGAGCATCAACTCTAGGGAGCCAGAATTCGGCCAATCAGACTGGTTCAATGAGCCAAGGGTCGCAGAAAAATCATCACCGCATGTTCCGCAAACAGATAACGTCGATTTGCAAACAAAAGCGCCTCTAAGGTGTAAAAAGCCCGGTCAGAAATTTGGGCACATACATACACCCAGAAAATAATCCCGGAGAGTACATCAGAAGCAAAAGACGGCTAGGCGAATAAGCTTGTTTTCGGTGGTTCGCATCAGGCCAATACACCAAAGAAAATAGGAATCAAACGAACACAGGGTATTTAAATACGATGAATCAACGAGGTAAATGGACCGGTCAAGGAGATCAATAACGACACTGGCTAGGGCAACATTAGTGGAAGGGTTCAGCGTGACATCATTATATGGGGAAACTTGAAGCCATGGTAGCTGTAGAGCCTTAACAAACTTCTTTTAAGCACATAAGTCGGGGTTATGGAGCCGAATAGCGATTGCCTCCGAGGTCGCCTATTAGCGACAGTGGAGGGGTCGTGTGTGGCGTCCAGATATCCTGCAGGTAGGTCGGAAGTCCTCTCGCACATTCACTTGGTGATTTGTGTCGGCCAAATGACACAGCACCACGCTGACTGACATCATCCTTGAAAAACAGTGATAAGTAGATTAAGCGCTTTTCTGTGGTGATTGCTTTGACTTTTGGTGCTCGTGGCACTATGTGCCCCCGGAGGAATTTGTCCGGATAACCATTTTGTTCGAGAACGTACGAATGATACTCAACTCATCCAACAGCTTGTCTTCCGTGCACATTTTCCTCACTTTTTTCGTCAGACAACGGACGAGATTTCGTTTCCGACTCATTGGAACGTAACTGGCGAAATGAGTACACTAGCCGCTCCAAGCTGTTTTCCTGTGTACTCCTTCGTATAGTCACGTCTGATGTCCTGGTGATGTGGACATCTAAGAATGACAAGGAGTTGTTACTTTCAAGTTCTATGGTAAACACTATGTTGTTGTGTGCAGTGTTAAAGTGGGCTAGCAGATCTTCAAGGTTGATGGGATAGCAGAACGAACTACTCGAAGGCTCTGCAATGCAACCGAGATAACCTACTTTGTAGTTGACCTCCGTGTCAGCTTCACTTCTACGCCACACGTGAGTCAACATCCCAAGGACAGGATACCGAGGTCGAGTATTTCCTTCAGTGTATACAATTTTCTTGCTCGTGTCTAGCAACTTATTTTGGAAAGTCGACCAGGCGACTGTCTGAGAGTCCATGAACATTGCCCGGCGTGGCTCTGCACTGGTGTCAGAAAGACAATAGTCAGCGTGGTGCTGTGTCATTTGGCCGACACAAATCACCAAGTGAATGTGCGAGAGGACTTCCGACCTACCTGCAGGATATCTGGACGCCACACACGACCCCTCCACTGTCGCTAATAGGCGACCTCGGAGGCAATCGCTATTCGGCTCCATAACCCCGACTTATGTGCTTAAAAGAAGTTTGTAAAGGCTCTACAGCTACCATGGCTTCAAGTTTCCCCATATAATGATGTCACGCTGAACCCTTCCACTAATGTTGCCCTAGCCAGTGTCGTCATTGATCTCCTTGACCGGTCCATTTACCTCGTTGATTCATCGTATTTAAATACCTTGTGTTCGTTTGATTCCTATTTTCTTTGGTGTATTGGCCTGATGCGAACCACCGAAAACAAGCTTATTCGCCTAGCCGTCTTTTGCTTTTGACATCCAACCAGATCATCTCTGAGTGAAGAAGCAGTTACCCTGTAACAAAACAGCTTTGTTATGGTTCCCGTATGTATTTTAGATGAGATGTGGTAGCTGAAAAGCGAATTGTGCAGTTATATACAGCACACACCTTGCATTACCCCTCATTCAGTTAAGGCTCTACCCCACAACACTGGCATGTAACACTTGACAAAATGTAACGTGAGGTAAAACAGACTAGTACAACCTAAAGATGATAGTATGCAAGACTGTTTTGTTATCTGGACCCTTAGGTAAAAATCACTGACTACACCTGGTCCAATGAGGAAAGTACAGCATTCAGAACCTCACACATACACAAGCACAGTGTTTGTACCTGGACGCCTAATCAAAAAATCTGCTTATATCATTGTGTTGACTTGTTGCAGTCTTACTCCTTTTGTCGATTTGTCAAATTCCGCCGTTGAGTAACTCACCTTCGGTGAATTCCTTGTAAATCGCATGTCGACTTTTCTCAATTCGCTTCGTGAACGTCTCCGTCAATCCGGCTTTTCGTCGATGAGAGTTACACACTCCCAAAGTAGAACGAATATGCTTTGTGGCTCGTAATAGATGTTCCTGAACAAATGGAAAGAACGCCATGGACGCTGGACATGAAGCATTTATGAAGGAGTGTTATGTGTTTGAAAACGCACAATAAACGAGAAAACGAACGAAGCGGACGACTTGCGCCATATGTATTGAATAGTCTTGATGAAACTACATGAGCAACACAACTGTCCACCCTTTGGGCCAATTGAAGCACATGGGAAGTTTATTGGGGTTCATTCCTTTTGCTCTCTCGAACAGTATTCCCAAGGTAACTGGAAAATAGACCTGTAAAGAAGTATGCACACATGTTGATGCTTCATTATATAAAACATCATGATGCCCCACTATTTTTCAGCTAGATGCATGCTTAGCCTTTCAGATTGAGTGTTTTTGCTAGCACAGCTATTGCAAATTTTTGCTAATATTTCTATGGCCCTACTATTTAATTTTGTGTGTTCAACTGTGGTCTCCTACTAGATCCATTTTTCGTCGGCCCCCGGTGCTCACTAATACATTCAAACTTTCCATCCTTAAGGGAAAAGATCACGTGCCATATGGGTCGATTAATAGGCAACATACATTATTGTCCATAATTATGTTAAGTCTCCTTGCTGAAGTGCCATGAATTCAATGCTATCTCGGACAGTATATATAAGGAAAGCATTTCGTAGCGTTGTAAGTGATTATGTCTATCCGCTTATTTGAACCAGTGGTCAGTATATTTTAATCTGTCGCGTCACCGAGAACAGTCTTTCGCACTCTAGCGAAGTAAAGGAGGTATGTATGCATTATAGCTTGTGAAATTGTATGCCTCCTGTGGCGATGATTATGAGCAAGGCATGGTCATCGCTGAACACACCGCTGAAGTTGCATTCACCCTCCTGTGCCCGCAATCGCACCTAATTTTCCGGCACTTATTCAGCACAGTGACGGAATCCGGTGAAGAATGTACCGTGTCAGACTCAACTGCACACTGGTTCCAAATATCTGCCTAATAATCTACACTGTCAAAACAAAACTACATATGTGATGGACTATATGCTACAGCGCTTAAAATATTGGTACTCGTAATGAGGAAACTGAAAAACGCGTGCACTGGTTTTGGCTTGGGTTGTATGAGTTGGACATTCGTTGTACTCCTGGAGGCAGGATAAGTTGACTATCTATAACAAACCTTGCTTCACAAGGATTAGTACACAGTAACCAAAAACTATGTTGCATATACTGCAGCCGTCAGGTCTCAACTTAGCCCAATCTCACTGGATGAGAACGTGCTACCGCATCTGCTATGGATTTCACTTCCGCGGCTGCATACGTCTATGAAATGTCTAATGGACGTCATCGTCCATCAGACGCTGAACCTGCAGCCACATGGAAGATGCAATTTCTCCCACGGTATAGCCCAGTCTAACAAGCTGCTCATTCGACAAAATTCTCCCCATTATTTCGGGATTAATTAAACTCCAAGCCCAGTTCATGGTGTCAGCCGATATCATATTGTGTCCAGCTGTTTATGTTACATAATATTTCACACACCGGTTTACACATTGCTATAATGCACATCAATTAAACGAAGTATTTTAAAGTTCAGAAACGAAAAATCGCTAATCCGATTGTCCTACGTGTAAACATGTCGGACTTCATGAATTTTCGAATATGGAAAAGCGAACATCTAAGTTAGCCTTCTTTCGATAAGGATAAACCGATTCAATGCTTTGCTCAGTTTAGTATTGTTGGCACCTAGGGGCATTTTGCCCCGTTAACTATCATAGTATCACATCCTTGGAGTGTAGTAAATTTCGGTGCAGTACCTGCTAGCGAAAGTTATCTTCCATAAGCAAATTCTTTCCCTCACCATCTGCGACTTCTTCAGTGACTGTTACATTTCAGGTGGGATAAGACGCAGCATATAAGTACTGCTTAGAACAGCTAGGTTATGACGTGTGCCAAGCTAAATATAAGTTAAACGGTTTTAAGCTCCACGTGAAAGCTAAAACAGTGGGTTCATTAATGATCAGAAAAGTACACGATCTCGAAATAAACACTGCTTACCGAGACGGAACCTACGTTTTCGTCCTTACCTGCTCAATCGTTGCTGTTCCTTGTACAAATAGGATGGTAGAATGTGCCAGTTCCTGATACATACCCGACTGACCGCTGTAAGTTACTTTAAAGACGAGTATTGAGAAACGTACCGCTTCAAGCGTCCTTTGGCATCTTCGATTTTGTTGTTAAAGAACAAGTTAAGCGTAGTTTCTGCTTCTGAAATGCCTTCTAGTAGTCTGGCATTGGACTGGGCGCTTTATACAGCTGTTTTAATGGTATGATGACTCACCTTTCGGTCATGATAGGAGTGTGCTAAATAAGCAAATAAAAGTAGACTGCGATTTATTTCAAGTGAGATATGGATACAATTGCATCAATATAAAAGCAATTGAATCCCAGTGAAAATACTGAACATTATTAATAGGAGAAAGAAGCTACGTTCAACTGTCACCTGTGGTCAACGTTTCGCTTGCACAGCAGTTGAACTGATCAAACACATTGCCGCCGACAGTTAAATTCCATTGATGTCTTGCACTAATAAACTCAAAGACACAAATGAATTGCCGATCAAAAATGGTTCTAAAATGAAATATGTTTCACGTAGGAAATCGCGTTTCACATGCGCGTCTGAAGGTAGTTGGACTAAAGCCAAGTGTCGCTTTGATACGTGGTTACGCAAAAGGATGCATCACAAGACTTATTGCAATTACAAATCATAAAATTCCGGCGCAGATAAGCATTCACCCATAGCGAGCACTTTTAGAAGAATTTATTAAGAAGACTGGAAATTGATATTGCCTGGAACGCTATTCTGTGAGGAAGTGACTCACATTGTTGCTGCGAGAAACGTTGTTCTAAGAAACAGTGATGTGACTACTGTGGACCTAGGAGAGTAGTAGTGGGATCTGAACACCGATGCGCAAAAAGTATTTCTTACACATGATAGGGACATGGAGCTCATCATTTGGCGTTTAGCAACACACCACCGGGTACTTCGCTGAATCAGCGGGTGATCTCGAGTCGTTTAGAAGTACTTGCTTATGCTCGCTGCATACCAGCAAGTTCGTCATAGCGGAATGTAGGTATAAACGTATAGTGTTATTTTGCTGATACCTTTAGGGGCTTAGTCAGTAGCATCACAAAATCCATGAAACAGCACACCGAAAGACCAAGTAGGGAAAGACCTCGCCATAAGTCTGAATCGGAGCTATGGGAATGGTTAGATAAACTAATCAGGACGCTTGTGCAATCGGTCACGTATAGGCAACTGGATCCACCGTAGTTCTATGTAATAATTATGGTTGAAAAACAAACAGAGCAAATTAACTTCATGTGTTTTCTTGGTTTCTCATTCGCGGTTTCATAAATTATATTTGTGCCCTTCTGTTTATCCATTCGAGAAGTGCATGATTATTTAAAATCGTTATTATTATCATTAGCAATATTATTATGGTGTTGGTAATTGAACCCACTATAAGCCGAGCGTTACTGGTTAACCGGACTAGACTAAACACAGTGTTGAAAAGAGCCAACATTCACAGTGTAGCGATGTTAGTTAAGCTGTGCTCCTGAGCAACAGTACAATCTTGCTATTATGTGAACACCAAACTATAGCGAGACTCCAACTAACATGTATGTATGTTTCGGTCCAGTCGGTTTCATACCCACTGTGGTTAGAGTTAAATTGATTAAAGGAAACGCATTTAGCTGAAGAAAAGTTTCAACCCCTGGGTTCACGGTTCACTCGTGAGTCATAAACTTCGTCTCAAGTTATCCCTATCTTGCGGAAATCTTTCATTACGATGGCGAGCTTCGTCGTCATTTCAGTGGTGTCGACTGGTTAGTATTGGTATCCTGCTGAGCTACACTGTTTATGGGGAAATGTCCGAAACCATGCATTGGTTCAATCATATACAGAGGTATACTGTTAAATAAGAGCAAAACTGAACTCCTTCGCACCAGGCTTACTGGGAGGGGCCTTTGGAATTACCTGTTCATAGAGATCGGACAGGTGGAGGCGCAATATAACATAAAGAAGGCCTCAGCTGCACACCGGTACGCAGTACCGACGCAACCACCACTACTTGCGCGAGGGTCGCCCAGTCGTCCACGCAGGCTCGAACCAGCGACCTCAGATTACAAGGCAGGCTCGTGAGCCATAAGGCCACGAGCAGGCATAGCATACGGAAATTAAAGGCCGTTTATGACAGCTGCAGTTAAGTAAACACTCGCTGCGCGTCCATAAAATCGCTGGATCGTCGTTGTGTTTTTTCGGGCATTGGTAGCAATGAAGGTTCCCACGGACACGTCAGAGCCCAGAATCCGAGAACCTATGCTTTGGTAGTACACGACGTCACAGTAACATTCGTTAATCCCTGATTATATCAAGCAAACCATCCAGCATTAGGGGATCTGACAATGATAGACATAAAGTCGTTCGAAACGTTGTGTCGTACGTCTTATTCCCATTATCGGACTTGACAGTGTTTCAGCGACTGTTGTAAGTCGCTGTATATAAGTTTTCAACCGACGGAACTGAAAAAGTTTAAGAGGGAATTAGATTTATTATTTCGTGTTCGATTACGGTTGGTTCTTTGCGTTACTATGCAATGATAAGCAGAAGAAATATGGAGGTTCGAAACGCATCCGCTGACAGGAGTAGATTGTCACTTTACTGGATTCAGGTGACCGGTATCCTAAAGGTAACCAGCTTGTCTGGTAATCTGACGGCGCGGGTTCGAGACTACGTAGGGGCAGGGCGACGCTGGCATTGTACTTAGCCTACGTGCGATTAGTGGTGGGTGTGCGACATCGAAGCATCCGTACTGGGCACCGGTGTAGTGCTGATGCTTTTGTTTCTTCTTTCTACTAGATAGAAGAATACAGAAGTTACTGTTGGTTCGTTTGCAGCCAATTAGCATAACAAATTTAGCGAGTTCATAGGTCGTTTCAGATATCACCCATCATTGGTTATGGTTGCGGTAAGCTGGCTCCTCATTCTGAAAGTTGCAATGAACTAAAACGGTAGCAAGCAAAGTGCTCAGAAATAGATATGTCACTGTAAGACAGAAGTGCCTGGTTACCACCCAAAAATATGTGGGACGATTGTATTATGATACTGGTCAAATCAGAATCGGGCGCTTCCTTCGAACCCTAAGTTACTGTTGGTAACGGGTGGCGACAGCAACCAAGCTTACGTACCACCCAGCATGTCACATCGCCGTTAGCTCGAACCCCATAGAGCTCCTAAGATATGAGTAGCTTAAAAGGTTCACTGGAGCAAAACAATCGTTCAGCGCTCTCACAGAAATGTGGTCTTTGTAAAATCGGCACAAATACTGATAAACCATTGCTGAAGTCTTTAACCCATTTCGTAAAGAGATTTCCACAATTTGTTTGAGGAGCAAGTAACACGAGTTGCCCATCCAAGTGTGACAACTTGTGCATAAAACCCAAAAGATAGACCATCGCGTCAATATTAGGGTCATATAACACAAGCAGATTTTAGTTCCTGGGCTACGGTAGCTTATGTGACCCGACATTTGACCGCTCGACGCGCTAGAATTTTAAGTATCACTAAGGTGTGGTTTAATCCGCAGCCAAATATGAATAAAATCAGTCTCTATTACATTCCTACTTGCATAGAGAAATGTGTCCCCCCATTTGAATGGCCGCACGATAAAATGTGATGCTGAATGCTCAGTCCTCAATATATTCCGTCCATTTGCCAAACGCGATGAAATAACTCAGGAAACTTGTCCATATTCTAAATGAGTGAGGTAAACTACACTTGCTAGCCTCGAGAAATAAGCACACCTATGAAAATGGCAGTTGCATTGAAAAAATAAAAGCACCTTCAAGTTGGAATATAGTACTGGCACCTCTAAAATGCTTAAGTGTCGTTCCACCCCACTTCATTTGCTGTAGTCACACAAGTACCCACATACTTGAGCGTGTGCTCGTTCGAACCAGTTTGACGAGCGCTACTCAATGGTTTCCATCTCCTAGATCTAACTTGTTTGGATCATAATGTTACACCCGTTCTCAGTTTCGAGACACTCGGTGTCGACTACTGCTTGTGAAATCACATCACTCTCGAGTTGCACGAGAATAATTTTGGTCTCATTACGGTAGAAGAAGCTGAGGACTCTCAAGCGACCCTGCACATGTCACAGCATAACAAACTTACGAGACATTTTGCATCATTCACCTACTAAACATCGCGTCCGAGGCACTTAGGGTAGTTTGCCAACGCCCCGCGTGCGTCGTCGCGTAACGCGACCCCATCAATACACGCTGCGCCTACGTGTACTTGTGTGCGTACCAGCAATCTCACTATCTGCGCGCGGCCGCAAGACTGTGAGACAGCAACTATCTCGGCGGGCGGACCTGGACGCCGGATCAATCAATCCAGGGTTCTGGGTGGGACTAACCATCACACGTTCACTTGCCCTGAAGAGTGCAAATACCGGAGTCGCGGCGTCTGTGGAACGTGCAATAAGATGGACAAAATAGGAATTTGCTGTGGAAATTGCCAAACCTCTTTCCATGCAAAATGCGGGACAATCACACCAAGCGAGTGCAGGTTGATCAGCGGTAAGCCTGACACATTTTGGTTCTATGCAAAGTGTAATAACGTCCCACAAGTTAAAAGCGTAAGTACACTGTCCCAGAAGTATGAAAGGCTAACAGACGTAGTTGAGAATATGTTTGGCACCAGCATAGCTACGGTAGGGACGAGCATAGCAGAATTTCTGATACAGGCCCCTCCACCGAATTCCACTGTAAATCAAAGCAAATCAACAACGCTAAATGCCACACTAATAAAGTAGCTCCTGCAAACAGCGCCAATGATACAAATCGCTTAAGCGTTTTAGTACACTGCACTCCCAGCCCATTTACAGCAATTTCTCACAAACAGACTTCATCCCACCAGACGTCGCCGAAACCCAGGAAACATGCAAATACCTGTGGCAGCTGCACCGTTGTTGCATCAAGGTGCACTCAAAAACCAGACGCTGCTGTTTCTTTGAACATACCTATAACTAATGTGTAAGACAAGGTTGCAAGGATGTACAGCAAATCACTGAGTCTCCCAAGTACGGCCCATATTCCCAGGAAAGACACTTAGAAATAATTGGATGCCCTGTCTATAATATGTACCAACGTTCCGGAGTCAACATCGAAATCTTTGAAGGGGAAACAGGTGGATGACCTGAGCCAATGGAATGCCATAAGTAACCTCCTCGGTATTCTGACTAAACCCTCCAACTTGGCAAGTATCACTCGTCACCCGAAGT